CTGCGCCGAACTCTGAGGCTCCAGCAGTTCAAACCCAACAGCTGCTCCATGGAAGGAAAGTGGGGCGATCTCCTGCCGTCAAGACCCACAGCCTTAGAAACCTAATGGAGGTTGCTAGGAGCTGGAACCGACTCGGTGGCAGTGAGTTTGGTTTGTGTAGTGAATAATACTGTAAGGGACAGTAGACGAGACCAGGTGGGCACAGGTATCCGAAGCCATCTCCAAAGGTTTTCAGTGAAAAGTTAGAAACATGAGAGGCCTTGCAAATACCATCTCCCCCTTGTCTCTCTTAAATAAACATTTAATTTTAGATTGGTGGACAGATTATGTCGTCGTACATATAGTTCACAGGTGCCCTGTGCCAGCTTGTCCCTGTTATCACCGTCTCACATTACTACCTTTGTCACAATTTCTGAATCAACACTGGGACATTATCACTAACTAAAGTCCATGATCCCTTTGAGGACTAAGGTGTGCCTGACCTGAGCCATGGTCTTTTCAGTAGCCTCTTACGTGTGTGAGAGCTGGGCAATGAATATGGAAGACTGCAGGAGAAATGATGCATTTGAACATGGACTGCTGGAAGAATGAACAACTCTGTCTTGAAGGAAGTACAGCCAGAATGCTCCTTAGAAGTGAGAATGGCCAGACGTCGCCTCACTACTTTGGTCATGTTGTCCCTAAGGAGGGACATGATGGTTGGTGAAGTGGAGGGTCAGCGGAAAAGAGGTCCTCCACGAGATGGGTCGGCATGGGCCGCCGTGCTGGGCTCAGGGTGGCGACGGCTGTGAGCGTGGCACAGGCCCGGGCAGGGTTGTGTTCTGTCGCACATGGGCTCACTGTGACTTAAAACCCACTCGATGGCCCCTAACCATAATGAAGTCCGTGATGGGTTCAGCTCTCCTTGGTTTTTCCCTCATGTTGTTTTCTCTGTTCTAGAACCCAGCCACAAGACCACTTTACGTTGAGCCGTCGTGTCTCCTTACGCTCCTCTGGCTGTGACAGTGTTTATGTCTTTTGTTTCGATTTAGAAATTCTCCAGAATTTCAGAAGCTTCTGGGTATCGCTATGGAACTCTTCCTGCTGTGCAGTGATGATGCGGAGTCGGACGTCCGGATGGTGGCTGACGAATGCCTCAACAAAGTCATCAAGGTCTGAACCCCGTGCACTGTGTTCACCTCTGAAAGCTGTAGCCCTTCTCGGCTAGGAGGAGAGCTGTAATGAAG